CGCTGTCCCGTCCTGCCGCAGCTCAGCCCCTGCCTCCTGCAGTCCCTCTGCTCCCAGACGTGGCTCTGCTCCAGCCGCTTCAAGAGAAGCTGGCGGTGACCTACCTACATTATGGACAAAGTAGGTCTAGGGAAGACTGCAGGTGCCCTGTGGAATATTCTTCCAGGTAACCAAGTCAAGGCACCAAGCGACCTTCTAGCTGCATCCAGCTTTCTCCTGGACAAACCTAGTTATTTTACTTACCATAGAATCATAGACCCAGAGGTCACCCAGCCCAACCCCCCTGCAGGAGCAGGGACACCTTGAACCACAGCAGGTTGCTCACAGCCCCGGCCAACCTGGCCTGGAATGTTCCCAGGGATGGGGCCTCCACCCCCTCTCTGGGCAACCTGTTCCAGTGTTTTACCACCCTCAACTTCATTACACTAAGCCTTGTGAAAGCAGACCTCCCCCAATTAAGCTTCCTCTGATCTACAATCAAATAGTCAGCATCAAGTACAACAACAGATCCCCAACTTCCAACATATAAATAATGAACAGCAACCTGAACAAGGCTAGAGCTTTGTGGCCATAAAGGAGCTAAATCAACAAGAATTTGTTCAGGAAAAAAAGGTAAAGGGCAACTGTCACTACAGTGTATTTCAATATCTTTCAAAGTTCTTCACCCCACAGCAGCATTGGAACTGTTTCACAAGGGGGACAGCACTCAGGCAAGGAGAAGCAAAAGAATTTGACCTCAGTCAGGCTAGAAATCGGCCTGGCTGAAGTCAGGGCTTCCGCAGATCCTCCCACGCCCCGTCTCCTCACCACACAAAACTCTGCTCAGCTAGTGTCGGGGTAGCCTAGAGGTAAATGCAAAACTATTAGCTCTGGAAGTCTGGCTTCAGTTTTTGCTAAATTTATAGCATTAGTTCTCAGGGAGGGAGGAAGGAAAGGAAATGCCAAAGAGCAGAAGGGCCTGAGAAGGGATGAAGGAAGCGATTGAACAAGTTACAAAAGTGAGTTACAAGACAGGTCAGACAGAAAAATAGGCACCATCAGTCATAGTTTCAAATTCCTCCCACCACCACCCTAGTAGGGAAAAAAAAAAAAAGACAGCTTCCAGGCACTGTATGTGTTCATTTCAGATTTTTGAAGGGGAAGAAAATGGTCTGAATACATTTACATTTCTAAGGACAGTGTGGCTGGACAAACTACTGTCACTCAGGTCCCTGACTGGGACAGAGCTGGAACGTTCCACCAGCAGGTAAAGCCGTGGCAGAACGGCCAGGAGCAGCCACAGAGCATTCGCAGCAGCTATGCAGCTGCAGTAATCCGTGAAACTCTGACAGGTGCACAATTACTGCAGAAGCTTAGCAAAGCTTATCTCCTCCTTAGTCTGAGGCATGTTGTGAAACATGCTTCACACATCTGACATGCCAAACCCTTTATGAAATACCATAAAGAGCTTATTGTGATATTTCTTCAAAACTGCTTGTGAATTTTACATTTAATATTAAACCATGAAACTAGGAGAGTTCCCAAACCTAGTGCTTTATTACAGGTGTTTTTAATGTATTTTAGCAGCATTAAGTTACAGTTAATAACAAAAGTTAACCTCATCTATAGAGAACATAAATATGTTATGGTATTTTTATTAAAAATAACAAACTGAAACCACAAAATTTAATGTTGAATTTAAGGAAACCCCTGTTTTAATACAACTCCATTAGTGCAGATTTCAACGAGCTGTTAACAAAATCTTAACATCCTTAAGTGAAAAAAGCCCTTAAGTGACAAAATGTGAACTTGTTCCAAATAACAATTAAAGCTCCTCCTTCTCCATAGTGTTCCTCACCGCTCTACCCTTTCCAGATTCTTTTTTTCTCTTTAGCTTTTCCTTAAACCGCTGCTCAAAGTATTTTTCTTCTGTAACCCTTTCTCTCTCCTGCTCTTCCTCAGTCTGCTTTATGTTCATTTCCTTTTCAGGACCCTAATATTAAGATTTCATTTTTATGCACCAATAGGCTTGACGGGATTAGACAGGGGATTTTTAAAAAGTGATAACAAAGAACTAAAACAGACAAGAATTTCACATTACCTTCGTTTCACCCCACGTTTCATCTCCAAAGTCTTCTGCATAAACCTCATCATCTGTTATCAAGAAATTGTCAAAAATTGTGCCAGCTCTCACCTTCAAAGGAATAGGGGGAAAAAAACCACAAGGTTGCCTCTGTTTTCTTAAGAGTTTTTTTTTTTTTAAACAATTATTTGTATCATATATTCAATATAGAGTAATCATGTTAAGAACCTCATAGATTTTTGCAGAATGCAATGAAGAATTCTCTCTTTTTGGACAACTGCTTTCAAGAATCTAAAGAACTCGTTTTAACTTCACGCATTTCACTGCTCTTCAAGAAGCTTTAAGTCTCATCACTGGCTAGTCAAGAAACCCGAGACAGAGGAAGATCTTGGAGGTACCCCAGAGCAGTTCTCATTAATCTCTGGGTAAGTCAGGAGTAACGGAGCTGCTCAAAGCCTCAGTTACACACCTCAAGTTGGATGGAATAACTCGTACTTTACAATACTAACACAACTTAGTTTAGGCCCCTCACTTACCTGTGGATGATTTTGATCCAAACAGTAACTACAACAGAAGATCAGTGTGTCTTACATTTAAATATCTGTATAAAACTGAAAAATCTGTAAGGGCAAGTTAATGACATAGGTCCCCAAGACCCCAAAGCAATAAATAATGTTTACATGCAAAGGGCAAACAAGTTGCTATATACTACGTGAAGGAAGAGTTCTTTATTTTCTAGTAAAGGCATCTCACCTGCCAGATATCTAGTCCAATGACGCTGATATTTTCATAGCTGTAGATACTGAAGTCCGGCGAGTAATTTGGATTGTCAATCTGTGGATGAGGCCAAACTCCTCTGTAATTTGGGTTATCAATCTGCCTTGGCTTCCATTCCCCCTAGGATAAACCACATGTTCTGAACACAGTCAGGCAAAGGGAAGTTACTTAGTGTTATCCATAGCTAGGATTATGACGTTATTTATACTCTGTATAGAGGATTCTTGACCATCGGATGATGCCATTCTCCATTCACAGCATCATCCCAGTCTTCAGGTTTCTCAGCACTGGTGTCCACAATGTATTCAGGTTCATCCCAGTCCTTTAAAAAGAGACAGGAAGATTAAGAAAGCAAAACTAGTGCATAGTTCAACTATATAAAACTCAGCAAGAATGAAAACCCCTCAATAATACAGAATAAGGAGAGCCAACTACCTCAGGCTTGATGTCATTCGGATCATCAATTAGGATGCGATCATCCCAGTCAGTGGGTTTCCTCACTGTTGGATCATTAATTTTCCTCGGTGGCAAAAAATCTAAATCATCTTCCAAGTTGCCAGATGCAACCATTTCGTTATCAATTTTTACTTCGTAAGTCTGATCTGGCCTTATAATCAGAGTGTATAGATGTGTATAGCCGTCAACCTGGGTTTTAAAGCAAGCAAGTAAAATTTTTTAAGAACCTTAAACATAGCTCTTCGGAAGTGCCTTGCACCAGAATTATAACACTAATTTCTAATGGATTTTTCATAAGCAGTACCTAAGAAAAAGTAATTCCCAAAGTCTCCTGGAGGGGGAAAATATAGGTGAAAAATGTCATTAACTTTATTTTCCAGTCCTCCCATCTGGGTCTCTGAGCAAAACTGAATGGTTGCAAGAAAACGCAGTCTATACTTAATTGGCAAGAGGAAGCATCACAAGATTGAAAATAGTATCAGACAAAAGTAATGATTTCAGTTAATATCAAATACAAGTTTTTTATATCCCAAATAGCTACAGCAAAGGTATGTAAAAAGGCTTAAACAGGTTAAAAGCAAAAATATTGAAACTATAGCCAGGATCTTAAAGTTATTCACAAGAAAGCACTCTCTCACCAGTAGTTGTGGAATTAAAGTCACAGTTAAACACAAAGACATCCCTTTCTTAATATCATACAGCCCCCTTGCAACCTTGTTCCATCCTGTATCCATATCATAAATGAAATCATTGAACTGCAAGCATATGAACAAAGATATATTTGAGGTCTCCAAATTAATATGACTTAAGATATCATGATAAGTAGAGCTTCTCAAAGGTGTTAATGTTTGGAATAGTTGTTGGGGGTTTTTTGGTTTAAGTTTTGTTGTCCCATGTCTCCTGTCCCATCCCCCCACGCCCCCTTCCTAATATCCCTGTAACTTGTTTATTTTAAAGTTTATTATCTTTGGAATGTGTATTTACCTTGCATCTGATCAGTTTCTTGATTGGATGGGGTTTATTCTTGTAATTTAAAATAACATGGACTTTCTTTGTCTCAGATCCACAAATATCTGGCCCTACAAAGAGATTATATACTTTGTATCTGTAACTTCCTTGCAGAAAAATACAGATTTTTTATATTTTCCTTCTCATACTACTACACCTCTCTCCCATTCCATGTATTTTGATGTATTCCATTCCATTTTTAATGGATGACATGGCTTCTACTCCAAGTATTTAAATCTACCTTAGAAGTAGATTTTGTGTAGTTTCATTGATTGATAGAAAACAAGAAATCCAGGCAAAATATAAATTATCTATGGCACAAGCTGAGTAACTATATAATTATATTAGATAAATAATGACAAATTTCACTTTGACATACAATGTACAAATTTCACTGTCACTGGAAATTACATATAAGGGCAGATAATGGCCTAAAGCATGTTGG